GACTACTTTAGCTATTCTGAGATGGGTTCTGCCATCAATTGTTTGTTTGTTTCATTAACACGGTGTTATATCAGAATAGTAATTCTTTAAGGTATATTGGCCCAAAAGCAACCTAAATGGGCGGTGAAAACATATACTAAAACACCTAGAGAGAAAACCGGGCTGTTTGGCCAAAATAAATGTTTCGCACTTTAGGGAAACGCTTTAGAGTCCGCTTGGCTGCTGCCTTCCCTCTAATTTCCAGCACATCACGTAGTTCGGCAATGTGTGAAACCATTCATTCTATAGGTAGCAACCGGTGCCAAACAAGCGAAAGCTTTTTCTTGTGTATAGCCAAAATACTGCATAATTTTTTTTTCTGTGTGATGCACTTTAATGAAATTATATTCTGGGGAGCATCGCAATTTCATCCCAGACTCTCTATTTAGGAAACATAACACAGGCAAGTTTTTCAGCCGAGCGAGCTTAAACTTACTGAAATGTGCAGGCATGGCTCTGGGCACCGGCGTCACAATGTGTTAACGTTTCGACAACTGAACCCATTAAGAAAGCACTGTGGTCCTGAATAAGCGATAGCTTGACGCTCCGCATGCATGGTTTCTTCACTCGAAGCCCGTTTTGAGTGCGCTGCTGTGCGGTAGCGCAGGGGCATAGCACGTGGTTGTATGTCACAATACGAAAAATGTTTCCCCCCCAAAAATAATTAGCAGCATGTAGAAGCATGTAGCAGCTTACAACGTAGCAAAACGCGCTTGGCCCTAAAGTAATGTTGAGATCTCAGTAATTTATCTAATTATACGCAATAAGAATGTGCCACATGCTGGTAAAGCTTATGTCGTTGGTCCCATTGAGATAGAGTTAACCGCTTCGTAAAGATATGTGGTTCTAGTTACATGGAAAAACGACCAATGAGCTCATGTTGCTGATCAGTTCCCATTTTCTCCTCCCTACCTTCCATAAGAGCGCACGGCAAGGGTATACTAAACCGGTGCATGTTTAGTGACACCACCACCTTCTGAACGCTGAAAATGCGGGCAGACACACCCACAAAAAGTGGATAAAGCTTTTGGAGGTGGATTCATGAGTACCCAAGCCTAACGGAATCACATCAGCGTTTCTGTAGCTGTGAAATAAATGGTTGCGGTGAATAATAGCGCGCCATGTTGGTAGTTCACAACAAATCCTGCCAAACTTGTCTAATGCAACCGCCTCGCGCGTATAAATTAAAATTAAAAATATTATCAATCACGCTAATTTTATGAATATCTATTCGCAGTGACGTCATTAGGCTTGGCGTTCTGAAGACAAAGAAACTTAAGAGGCCAGGCGTAATCGCCTGAAGGGTGAAGGGGTTGCTATCTTGCCACCGGTTCCATATCACCAATGATTGGTTGTCTCACTCGCCACCAGATGACGAGAATAGAGGCTGTTGCTATTGCTACCGCTTTAACGCACTACAAGCAGCTGCTGGAGCGCGCGCGCTGTGCTTTCATGTGTTCGGTTGGTTGGTATGCAGGGTTTAACGTCCCAAAACCACCATACGATTATAAGAGACACCGTAGCAGCGGGATCCAGAAATTTCGACCACCTGGGGTTCTTTAACGTGCGCCCAAATCTGAGCCCACAGGCCTACAGCATTTTCGCTTCGAACAAAAATGCAGCCGCCGCAGCCGGAATTTGATCCCACGACCTGCGGGTCAGCAGTCTAGTACCTTATTCACTAGACCACCACGTCGGGGCGCGTTCGTGTGTTCTTTTTCATATAACTGACACTGTACATACCGACCATGTTAATGAGCGTTCTGTTGGCACGCTCAGTCAGGCCATTGATCTGTGAATGGTACGAAGTAGCATGACAAAACTGGGAAGCAGACCGGCGAAGCAACTCTTCCGCGACGTCGGCTACGAACTACCAGCCACGGTCGCTGATAATGGCACGAGGGAATCCATGCCGGAGGATGATGTAGCGTAATAATAAGCCAGAAACATGATCGGCTGTTGCCGCAGAGATTGCCGTGGCTTCAGCGTACCGAGTGAGGTGGTCAACACAGACTACAAACCAGGGGTTCCCAGTGAGCGATCGTGCAAAAACGCCCGTCAATTCAATACTGAAGTCCTCAATGAGAAAACATGGAGATGGTTTGGGATCGAGGAATTCCTGCGGCGCGCTTGTTTAACTCTTGTACCGATGGCAACGTTCAAAGCTGGTCATGTATTTAGCTGTAGCCGGACGCATGCGGAGCCAGTAGAAATGTTCAAGTGTGCGTTGATAGGTCTCTGCAAACCCCAAATGCCCAGATGTTGGATTGTCGTGCATAGCTTGCAGCACGTTGAATCGCAAAGATTTGCGGATAACCAAAAGTAGGCGGGCCACATTTGCAGCAAAATTTCGCTCGTAAAGAATGTCATCCTGCATGACGAATGAGGACTAATGTGGCTTATCGACGAAGAGGAGCTGTTGCAGCAGTAGGGCAGCCCAGAGCGCTGTCACTTCTTTCTCCTCTTCTCCACTTCGACGAAAGTCTTGTGTAAATATACAAGCCACATTGTAATGTCTTCGTTTCGCAGTAACGCTTCATGTAATCAGCGACTACAATCTAGCGGTTGCTATCGTGATCCTTGGGAAAAGGACCGAGCAGGTCCAAGCCCATTTGTTGGAATGGTTGCGTTGGGGGGGGGGGGGAGCAACGTGCTTAAAAAAGCTGGCTGTGCAACGATGTGTGGTGCTTTACGGCACTGGCACTCGTGACACATTTTCTCGTATTGCGTCACGTCCAGACTGAGCTTAAGCTAGTAGCAGTGATGGTGAATCGGGGCCAAGGTACGTTTGAATCTCAAGTGGTCGGATGAAAGCTCATCGTGACAGGCAGACAAGACATCGGCCGGAAACAAGCAGAGGGGCTCAGTTGCGTAAGGGTCGACATTCTTTTTATAGAGGATATTGCTAACAAGGATCGCGAGCCTGCTAATACTAGTGGTAGATACGGCCTGCAGTCTGCAAGATTATTTGTCGAAGCTTGTAACCATTCTTCTGCTGTTCAGCCAACTCGGATACACTAACGGCACAGAGAAAACGACCATCGAGATAATGACCACCTGATGCCGTCGTAAGAGGAGCTTGGGAAAATCACTCCGCGTCAGTATGCTTCCGGCCAGACTTGTACATGACTGTCGAATGGAAGTCCTGAAGGCATAAGCTCCACCTGGCTAGACGTCCAAAGGGTCTTTGAGGTTCGCCAACCAGCAAAGCGCATGATGATCGGTAACAACTTTGTAACCATACAGGTACGGTCTGAATTTCAGCTATTGCCCAGACAACAGCTATAAGCACTCCTTTCAGTGCTTGTGTATTTCGCCTCCGCAGATGATAAAATCCGGCTGGCATAAGCAATAGGACGTTCGACGCCGCTTTGCCAGAGGACTAAGACTGCACCGAGGCTGATGTTACTAGGGTCTGTGTGTAGTTCAGTGTCGGCATATTCGTCGTAGTGTCCGAGTAAGGGCTCAGTCTGGAGACGTTGGAGCTCGAAGAAAGCGCGGCTTTGCGCAGGAACCCACACGAAGGGGACATCTTCTTTTGTCAGACGAGTGAGGGGTTGAGCTATGTTTGCGAAATTTCGCACAAAACGTCTGTAGTATGCGCAGAGGCCCAAACATCGACGCAGATCACGTTTGTTGACAGGTGGTGGAAAATCTGCGACAGCTAATGTTTTGTCTGGGTCCAGCCGAATACTATCGTGGCTAAAATTGTGGCTGAAGAATTTTAGTTCATCGTAATTAAAATGACACTTTTCTGGTTTCAGCAATAAGCCTGCCGTGTGGATTGCAACAATGCCAGATCGAAGTCGCGGCAAGTGCTCCTCAAACATTTTGAAAAGACATTGATGTCGTCTAAGTAAACAAAGCATGGTTCCTACTTGAGACCTGAAAGCACTGTATCCTTCATGCTCTGAAGTGTCACAGGAGCTGAGTACAGACCGAATAGTAGCAGCTTAAATTCGTACAGACCATCAGGAGCAATGAATGCTGTTTTTTTCTGTCACGTTCCCCAACCTCGATCTGCCAGTAGCCGCTGCGAATTTATAAAAGAGAAGTATCGGGCCCGTCGGAGGTGGTCTAGTGAGTCGTCGATGCGCGGAAGAGGGTCCACGTCTTTCTTTGTCACTTTGTGGAGTTTTCGTTAATCGACGCAAGATCAAAGAGTGCCGGTCTTCTTCTTTACAAGTACGATGGGGCACGATCAAGGACTGTTCGAGGTTTAGGTTACGCCAACATTGAGCGTCTGCTTTACTTGAGAGCGTATGGCCTCTTGTTCCTTTAGTGACACTCGGTAGGCGCGTGCTGACCTATGGTCCGTTCAGCATGGTCTGTTACAATGCGGTGCATTACGATCGGTGTTTGCTTTATTTTGAATGTTGACGCAAAACAGCCCCTAAACATGCACGGAATACAGCGAATGCGCTGTTTCTGCGCACATGAAAGCTTAAGATAGACATCGAGCGCATCGGCTACCGTGCTGTCACCTTTAACGGCTGCAGAAATCAGGGCAATCGTCGTACATGCTTCATAGTCAATGGTTTCGAAATGAGCGATGGTTGTTCGCTTGGCAAAATGTTGGTATTGCCCGCTTGGATTGGCGACGTGCATTTCAGTCATTCCACGTTCAAAATTGATTATGCCGTCAGTGACGCAGATTTTCCGAGTCAAGAACACCTAAACGTTCGCTTCGGCGATACCACTACTGCCATGATCTATATCACCCTGTACAGTAAAGAACATGCTGGCTCGTGGCTGAAGTGGGACGGTGTCGTCGACAATACGAAGTCGAGTCCTCTGCAGATTGGTATCTCCAGCCTTCGGGGCGCAGTCGCTAGCATATGTTACGAGGCAGTCTCGAGGATGAATAACAGCACCGTGCTCGTGAAGGTAATCTATGCCAAGTAAAACTTTCTGGCAGCATTCGGGACGCACGATTAAAGAAGCAATGAACATCGACTCACAAATTTGTAGCCTTGTGGTGCGTCTTGCTATTGGTGTCAAGAGGTGACCTCCTTCTGTCTGAAGGTTTGGTCCATGCGCCCATGGAGTCTTAACCTTTCTGATTTCAGCCATAAGCTCAGCGCTGATAACGGAGTCGTCGACACCAGTGTCGACCATAGCAGTTGGCGAATGGTTGTCGACAAGAACGATAATGTCAGAAGGAATGGGTGTGTCGGTGAGGAGGGCTGTCAGCTGAACGGAATAGTTGGAGTTTGGCGAATGGGTCGGAGGAGGCTGTTTTGACGATAGCTGAACAGCGGTCCCACTCCCGGAGGCCGCTGATCCAACTTTCCGTGGCGGAGACTTGGGGACCTTGCCAATCATCGCGCAACAACATCTGTGAAAGCGGAGTATTGATTCGAGGACGTAGAGCGTTGAGGAGACGGAGAGCGTGATTGGTGGTGCTGAAGTCTTGGAGACGGTTGGCTTGCCAAGTATTCTGCAATAGCGCGCGCTTGTTCACCAAAGAGCATCTGGCCAAAGTGCAGGCAGGCCCATTTGTCGCTTCGAGCACTCCCGGTACACGTGATATGGCTCACCGCAGTGGTAGCGAAGTGGCCGATTGTCGGAAGTGCGCCATACAATACATTTCCGCACATTCGGTCCTGAATTCTCATAGTGTGGCTGCCCGAGCAGTACTGTGGCGTCTGCAGGCTGGTCGGTCAGGGAACATAGCTGGCTCAGGAGTGCGTACAGCTTCCGCATACGTTAGCAGAGGAGCTTCTGCGGCAGACGTCACTAATGGTCGTACCAGCTGTCGTACCTCTTCACGGACGACGTCTGTCAGAGCAGCCACTTGAGGCTGTGAAGGCACTGCGCGAAGCTTTTGCAGCTCATCGCGTACAATCCCACGGAGTAGCTCAGCAAGGTCTCTCACGATCGTGACGGCGGGTGTTACCAAGGGTGCCGACGGGCATGCAAGGTTGTCTGACGGCTCATACTGAGAAGTCTACTGTCTTAGCATTCGCTTTATTGTTATCGCTTCACGGAGGAATTCCGCCACGGTAGTTGGTGGCTTTCGCACAAGTCCTGTAAAAAGCTCCTCCTTGACGCGCCGCATCAGAAAGCGTACCTTCATGTTTTCTGTTATTGCGGAATCTGCTCGACGAATGACACGAGACAGCTTCTCAACGAGCATGGCTACGCTTTCGTTTGATCTTTGCGAGACTTAAGGAGACGTTCTCCTCGTTCTTTCTGGTCGGCACTGGCATACGCGTTTCACTGCTGAGTGCTAAACACCGACCGGCTTGTCAAAGTGGTCTGGTGATTCTGAAACCGAATACGAGCCGAATACCCCAGATATAAATACAGATACCGGAGTTTCGGGTGCTCGTTCTATTTGTTGGTGACGGTGACTCGAGTGTATAGATCCAGCCAGTCTTGAACGTCTTCATAGGACTCCCCATGGAAGGGCTTCGGGGTTCGAGAGGCTGGAGGCCATAGAGCTGGTGGAGTCAGTGTCTGTTCTGTCTGGCGTGCAGTTGTCGCATTTTCCATGGTTCTGGAGCGTTCCGCAAAAGGTCCGAATTGGAGTGGTAGGCCTAGTTGCCTCTGACTGTGCTGAAGGCCGGCTGTTTCTTCGAAGGCTTCTATGTTGGCATTAAGATTTTCCTCGGGGTCACAGGGCATAGATTGTTACCCCGTACCTCCACCTTTGTAACGTTATACCGTAAACTCAACGTGTAGTTAAGAGCGCACAAAGACGTCGACAATACGACTTTATTTGTTGGTTGTCGGTTGGTTGTTCCAGAGTCCTGGCGCGACCCACCATGGGGGATCAGCCATGAAACGGATGGTACCTCATTTGTGAGATCGCATTGTTTTACCAGCCAGGTTACTTAGATAGGGACGTTTAAACAAATAACAGATTGGTAAACGACGCATTAGAAATAAAATAGAGGTAATAAAAAACGAGCAAGCTGATATGGTTTTAATTAAAGTGAATTTATGCCACAGCTTAACATTCTATTCATATTGTTGCCTTTATAAAAATGCATAAGGCCTCGCAAACGTTCCTGTGGCTAAACCTCTTTTCAGTTGCTCCAAAGAATTACCGAAAGAGATAAATTTAGAGCCAACCTACAGAGACGTTTTTCTAACAGTCTCTTTCTTTGATTTGTATATACCCTGCATGTTAAGAGGAAATGATGAAAGAATTCACCCTCGTTGCAGCGGAGGTATAGGGTAGACTGTGGCAGAGCAGACCTAGCTGTGTAGATAAAAATACATGGGGGGGGGGGGGGGGGCTCGCCATCGTAGTCTCGTAATTTGATATCTCCGCCATTCTAGAGAAGCACCATAAATTTTTCCAGGGGTACTTATGATAAGAAAAATCCGGTGTGGCCCAGCGAGATTTATGAAAATGATCTGATATGACAAAATTTTCAAAGCGTGCCATGGCAATAAATGCCAGCGTTAGCAATATAGAAATTATGGGATAACTATGTGAGGCCACTGCAAGTGCGTCTAATATTCATTGAGGGTTAAACCTGTATGCCCTGGTATCCACACCAAGCGAATGAGTCGGGGCAAGGGCATAAACTATTTTTAAAGCATTGGATATATTAGGCGCAGTTAATGAACTACACACAGACAGGCAGTCTGAAAGAATGATGGGATCTGTCATTGATTGGAGTTTTTTTACGTAATGCTAAAAGAATTGCAAGTAATTCCGCTTAATAAATAGGTGTAAAATCGGGCCAACGAACTGCAAAAGACCAATCCAACACTGAAGATGCAATTCCGACTCCTGCCTTCTCACCGCAATCTGAAGCATCAATTGCTATTACAATCTTTATTCATAATCTTAATTGATTGATTGATATGTGGGGTTTAACGTCCCAAATCCACCATTTGATTATGAGAGACGCCGTAGTGGAGGGCTGCGGAAATTTCGACCACCTGGGGTTCTTTAACGTGTACCTAAATTGGAGCACACGGGCCTACAACATTTCCGCTTCTATCGAAAATGCAGCCGCCGCAGCCGGGATTCAAACCCGCGACTTGCGGGTTATTCATAATCTTGCCAGGTAGTCTTTTAAAACTGCATTTAGGTATCTATGAGAAAATTTTCGCAATTAATAGGAAATATACTGTCAAATTCTATTTTCATTGTTTGAATAGGTGTTTTTAGTACCAGTACCTCTCGAAGGTTAACTTGCAATATTTCCAAGAGCCTCTGTACGACGACGACTTGCGGGCGCCTTAATCTAGACCACTGTTGGTTAAAAAAGGATGATGGCTCATTATTGAAAACATATTGCAACCTCCTCTGTGGAGATGCATATATATTTATGAAGGTACGAACTGCTAGTATTCGGAACCTAGCATGAAAAAAAAGCAGGCGCGCTTCCTTATATCAAATACTAATTGTGACAAATTTAGGAAGCGTAAGACATAATCGTAATGCTTCGCGTTCTAGAAGTACCAGTGGCCTCATTTAGTAGGCGGATGCTCCAGAAAACAAGACACAGCCAAACTTCAATAGTGGGCGAATATACATGCAATATTTTATGACCAGCACATGATGACGTAAAACAGAACGTTTATTGCTGAGTCTACGAAGTATCCCAAGCACCCGTGCTTTTAGCTGCCATATTTTCTATACGCGGACTCTAATTCAGGTTTTTAGTTTAAACCACTCCTAAGTATTTAATCAATTTCACCTGTGGGATGAAGTCCTCTCTGTAAAGTATGGAAATCTGCACTCGAACACTTAACGAAAAAACTGCGATTGCACTTTTCTCGATGTTTAATGATAGGTTAATGTCGTCTAATGATGTGTCCAGAGCATTCATATAAAACTATAAAATATTGGATATATTGTATGTATATCTACGGCTGTAGTGAAAAATGCGATGTCGTCAGCGTATACATACACCTGTACATCATTGATTGATTGATTTGTGGGGTTTAACGTCCAAAAAGCACCCTATGATTATCAGACACGCCGTAGTGGAAGGCTCCGGAAATTTTGACCACCTGGGGTTCTTTAACATGCACCTGAATCTGAGCACCCGGGTCTACAACATTTCCGCCTACATCGGAAATGCAGCTGCCACAGCCGGGATTTGAACCTGCGACCTGCGGGTCAGCAGCCGAGTACCTCAGCCATTGGACGACCACGGCCGGGCACCTGTACATCATGCTGTACTGGAATTGTGCACAATAATATAATAAGTATTAATGGTGACAGTATACCGAACCTTGGGGGAGACCTATAGTTTGTTTATACTTTGAAGACGACATGCCAGATTGAGAGCAATATAATTTTCTATTTTTCAGAAAGGAGTAAACCCATGCCATGAAGTAATTTGGTAAACTGACGTGCGTTAGCAAATTTAGTAGTTTAAAGTGTTCCACATTGTCTTAAGCTTTTGAAATATTTGAAGTTACTAAGGCAGCAACCTGTTTCTTAGAACAAGTTATTTGTATTCTGCTTTTCACATCAACATGGGCCACCAAATGGGGCAGCCACGCTTGAATCTAATTAGGCATGGGCTCAAAATTGTGTTTTTGTCCAACCAGTTGTCTATCTTGTGTAGAATTTTTTTGATTAGTTTTACCAGATTAGATGTGAGTGAAATAGGCTTAATGTTGCTTGATTGATTGATGATTGATTTGTGGGGTTTAACGTCCCGAAACCACCATATGATTATGAGAGACGCCGTAGTGGAGGGCTCCGGAAATTTTGACCACCTGGGGTTCTTTAACGTGCACCCAAATCTGAGCACACGGGCCTACAACATTTCCGCCTCCATCGGAAATGCAGCCGCCGCAGCCGAAATTTGAACCCGCGACCTGCGGGTCAGCAGCCGAGTACCTTAGCCACTAGACCACCACGGCGGGGCAAGGCTTAATGCTATCCAAAGTAAACCAGCTTCATGTTTTTTTTTAGCAAAGGAATTATTTTCGCGATTCTCCACTCAGGTGGAGTCCACGAATGTCTAATGAAGTGGTTAACTATTGCAAGTAAATGCTGAGGTGATAAATTGTGGATAATTTTTATTACCGATGCAGTTATTCCTTCAGGACCTGGAGCAGAATTCGGAAATATTTTCACGGCAGGTGCTATTTTCGATGCTGTAAGCTCTTCAAAGTCATCACTTTTAACAGGACACGACCAGTGGTAAAAATAAGGAGCCGTGAAGCGGCTTTCCAGTCCTTGAGCAACAGTTTTTAGAAAAGTAGGTAACTCACTTGCAACTCATTTTACATTCTTTTCCGCAAGCTTCTCTTCGTTTTCTTTTTAACAGCCGCACATATAAGCCCGCCAGCATCAATAGAAACAATTCTTGCAGAACGTATACTTGTCGCAATATACT